TGGGAAAGCTGTCGACGGTGAAACTGCTTTCGTAACGGGAGGATGAACAGCCCATTCTCACTCCCAAGGCGTCACCTAACTGACGCCTTGGGAAACATTTGACCATGCTTCAATATCTGACGCTTTAGATATTTGATATTTGACGTTTTAGGCGCCCTTTAGCGTCACTTACATGACGCGATCCTACGGCGTCATCTAACTGACGCTAAAGGAAAGCGTCAGTTAGAGGACGCGGTTAGGTTTAGGTATGGGGTGGGGGTAGGGTACACGCGATCCTAGGGCGTCATCTAACTGACGCTAAAGGGCGCCTAAAGCGTCAGATATTGAAGCATGGTCAAATGTTTCCCAAGGCGTCAGTTAGGTGACGCCTTGGGAGTGAGAATGGGCTGTTCATCCTCCCGTTACGAAAGCAGTTTCACCGTCGACAGCTTTCCCACGAGTGGGCGTGGTTTCAGCGCAACCAGCAGACACGCCCCCACAGCTTGATCAGAGAATACTGCTAATTTTTTCAAGATTTTGATAGCTTACTTGCCAGCTTTTTATCATTCAGATTTGGCTGGGTGGCTAATAACACATTTTCTGTGGTGTGGCAAACTCAGAACAGGGACTTTAAAGACCTATCAGTCTGCACCGTTCATAGATTCATGCCAAAAGTATGTAATAGTGTAAGAAATTATAGTCTGTCCTGACTCAGCTTCCACTTCAAGATATGGATTAGAATATGGTCTTTGCATATTCATTGAGTGAAACTCTATCACTTCTACTGTAGATTGGGAGTTGCGGGGAGTCGTCAAGAATAATGTTCAGAAGATACATGAAGGACACATGGAGTCCCGTCTCAAACAATATCAAAGATGTGGGAACGGAAGGCTTTCACTTTCATTGTTATCCTCAATTTACTTTTAAGACTAAACTTCATTTACATGTAGATCTGGAGGAAGAATGTAATACAGTATATAATGTTTGAGCAGAGATTATTCTGGGTTTATTCTGACTCTGATGAACGCAGGAGCTTTAATGCACTTCGTCACTGTTGCTGCAATAACACTTCATCATTGAGATCTTCAACTTCCTAAAAACATTTATAAAATATAATTCTGTCACATCGCACTGAAAGAGATGTTTGAGTCAGTTTGCGTTTCTGTGTTTCTTCTCAGGTTTACCCACATCTACAGTGACTGTGACACCAGCCGGTCCTGTATTCACTGGAGAAACAGTCAATCTGAAGTGTGAGATAAACTCTGATCACAGTGGCTGGACATATGAGTGGTGGTATAAAGTAAAAGGCAAAGGCAGTGTAATATTACAGAAGTCTGATCGTTACACTGTAAACAGAGACACTGTCACTATCAGAGGAGCTACTGAGTCTGATCAGGGTTGGTACGAGTGTAAAGGACACATATATGGAAGACCAAACTCATCAACATCAAGCTCTGTTTATCTCTCTGTGAAGGGTGAGTTCAACATCATTGTCCTCATAAACTCATTCTATGATCACACACACAATCAAGAGACTGTTCAGATTGAACTACTGTCTTACTTATCACAGCTTTGTGTCAGTGTTCTGCCCTGGCAGCCTTGTCTGTGTCGTCTTTGTGTCATGTTTCTGTGTGTCTTGTGTTTGAGCACATGGCTCTGTTTATGTTTTTGTTTGTCATGTGCTCCTCATGTCCCGCCCCCTTGTTTAGTCCTGGTCCAGGGGCCTGTACCATGAATCCGGTTTAGGTGGCTAGCCAGCTGTGTTTCAGTTTAGTTTGCGGCAACCCTGGGTTTTAGGCACCATGGAAGTGGTTTTGCTTTTAACAGTGTTCATCGCCATAGTAACTTACACTCTACCGCTAACCTGGTCCGGGGCAGGTGAGGCTCCAGGTGAAAGGTTGCAAACGGAACTTTGACCAATCAGCTGTGAGCAAAGTGACACGTCTGACGTGATAAAAGTCACTCCTCCTGTTTCTGCTCCAAATTAAAGGTCACTGCAGCAAATGATTATTAAAGACAAAATCGTCTGGCTTTTAGTAATGCTTATTTAGAATAATACATTTGTATGATGTATAAATTATTTATGTAATTTTTATACCCTTAATCGATCACACATCTACATTTTTTTACAAATGAATAAATATATAAAGTTGGTAATATAAATACACTTTAGAATCAATAGATAAAAGCTATAATATAACTTCACAACTTTAACGTGCACTGATATACAGGATATCAAGACTTTTTTTTTTGTTTTTTAGTTGTCCTCTTTCATTGACAGCTATTTTCTTCTTGATGTGTAAATTTGTTTAAATTATTAATATTTTAATACTTTTATTTGAGAAGTGAATCACACTGTTTCTCTTGCGAGAAATGTCTTTCAATGAGTTTTGAATGAGTTTCAGTCTTTCTCAGCATGTGATTGGTTGTTCGCTACTGATGTCACACCTAAACTCCTAAACTATCCTGAGTTGACAGAGAAAGTTGATGATTTGCATCATGGTACCAACTAAGCCTGGTTGGACTGGTTTGGTTTTGTCAACTCGAACGTAAACCTGCAACCCTGAGTTTGTTGCCATCATGGTACCAGCCTCAGTAGTTTTTACTAATCGTGCTCACCTGATCCTCATGTGCTCTGGTCCCTTTATATTGTCCCTCATGTGTTTGCTGGTTCATTTATGTGTTGTTTTCCTTCATTGTGTGCATGCATTCTCGCTTCTGACAGTCAGTGCTAGATTTAGATTATCTGTCAGTTCTAGCTTTGTGTTTGTTTTGTTTTGATTAGATTTTTATCCAGTTTTTTTCTTTGTTCCTGATTTTAAGTCTCGTAAGGAAGGGCAAATGAAGCCTTGTGAAGCACAGAGGCTTTCCCCTGCTTGTTCCAGGAAAAGATGTGAAGCATCAATAGTGTTGAAACAGCGCCGTCTTGTGGCAGGACAAATGTAAAGCAGCCACAAACCCGAGCGCTGTTGTTTTAGCTATTAAGCACAAATAAAAGCCTGACAACGCTAAATGTTCAGTTTTCTGATAATATAATTCACATATTAAAGTGTTGCAATAAATTAAATGTAACAATTAATACTAACAGTAAAAATACCAACAGTTGCTTGATGCAAGTAAATGGTGGTCTTATTATTTTATGGTCTCTATACTGTTTATAATATGACAGCTAAGCTAAAGTTGAATAGTGGTAGAAACAATGGTTATTAAAAAATAATGGCACAATGTCATGGTTGAACATTTTTTGGGGGTTCAAAAGATGGGTGCTTAAAGTTTAGAGAAAGATATTTTAATTTTCTTAAGTAGCTAAATCAGATACACACCTTAACCTGTTAACTGTCACCCCCCCTTTTTTGAATAGACATGAAAATGCACATTTCGAACTTAAATGGTTGTAATTCAAGAATGCTTTGGAATATAGACATATGATTGGTCTTGTTTTAAAGAAGACATTTGGCAGATTTTTGTAGAAGTGAAATAAATTAAGAAAGTGAAACAGAAAAAAAGTTATAGAAGTTAGAGTTTATGGAAATGTACAATGTAAAAATATTAATTATTCATATTTTACATAAAATATATATTTTCAAAACCTGGGCTACTCTAAAATGGTAGAAAGATCAAAGCCAAAAATCTGAACAAGTTGTGTTTCAAATTTTAGGTTGATATCTCAAAAAATGAGCTTTCAGTAAGATTTTGTTTGAGCGCAGTACCAAACTTTTTCACTAGGGCACAATCAGACTCCATTACTGCCCATATAAGGGCGTCTGCATTTCCATTTATGTTTTGAGTGATATGAACCATTATTTTCACAATTTTCATACAATTTCTGAAGTAGAGATCCTATTCAGGAGTAGCATGGGAAGTTTGGCAGATTTTGATATGAATTGAACCTCTAAGAAACACATACAAAGAACACGCATGTAAGTCATAGCTAGCTGCCACGTCACAAATGGTGAATTTATTATTTTTTTCTTGATATTTTAAACTTTTCAGACCTTTTTTTTTCCAAAATAATTGAATGGATTCTATCTTTTGAACTTTTGGCATGAAAACAAACTGAGGTATCTACCATTTTTTCATGATTTTTCATGTTTACTGCTATTTTAAAATAAAGGTCTGAACACGCCTTATGAGTATGAAAATATTCTTGTTTTATATTGATAAATTATGGCTCCTCTGTAATATATTTTGAAAATCAGTCACCAAATATGGAAACTAGAGATTGTAAGCTTTCAAATGATATATAGTTTGTCAATATTATTTAAGGTATTTACTAAGATATTATTGTTTTAAAAATATAGTGGCAAACGTCCCACCTGTGGGACGGTGACAGTTAAGTGGTGAGATACTAGTTAAAAAGAACTAAAGACAGAGTATGATAAAACACACATTAAGTGCACATACATTTTAGTCCAGATCAGTAAGCTATTTTAAGAAAACTGTATGATATACATTAGAAAATTAGATCGTCTCATTTATATATATATATATAAACCATATGGGCCAAAGTTTTTAATGTGGGCTTTATAATGCATTATGTTTGTATGTATTATGTTTGTAAAACAAAATATTAGAGTGAGTGTGCAGTTTGAATCTTTACTAATGGGTAGGCTACTACATCACTTCCAAAACAGATCGGTGTCTTTATTTAAATTTCCAAAAAAATGACCAAGAAGAGGTGGATTCACTTTATGAAGAGCCAACCTTGACAGGGAGCTGAAAATCATCACCAACACCCGCCTCTGTAGTGATGATTTTACACAGGATAGTTTTATAAACCTTCGTCGAAAACAACTGGGATTCACTGATAATCCGCTGTTACTCGTGAATGGAGCCGAGCCGACCATCTCCCGCCTCAGCGTTCATCCTCCCGTCCCGAGAGCAGTTTCACCGTCGACAGCTTTCCCACGAGTGGGCGTGGTTTCAGTGCAACCAGCAGACACGCCCCCACAGCAGACACGCCCCCAGCGCTTGATCAGAGAATACTGCTAATTTTTTCAAGATTTTGATAGCTTACTTGCCAGCTTTTTATCATTCAGATTTGGCTGGGTGGCTAATAACACATTTTCTGTGGTGTGGCAAACTCAGAACAGGGACTTTAAAGACCTATCAGTCTGCACCGTTCATAGATTCATGCCAAAAGTATGTAATAGTGTAAGAAATTATAGTCTGTCCTGACTCAGCTTCCACTTCAAGATATGGATTAGAATATGGTCTTTGCATATTCATTGAGTGAAACTCTATCACTTCTACTGTAGATTGGGAGTTGCGGGGAGTCGTCAAGAATAATGTTCAGAAGATACATGAAGGACACATGGAGTCCCGTCTCAAACAATATCAAAGATGTGGGAACGGAAGGCTTTCACTTTCATTGTTATCCTCAATTTACTTTTAAGACTAAACTTCATTTACATGTAGATCTGGAGGAAGAATGTAATACAGTATATAATGTTTGAGCAGAGATTATTCTGGGTTTATTCTGACTCTGATGAACGCAGGAGCTTTAATGCACTTTGTCACTGTTGCTGCAATAACACTTCATCATTGAGATCTTCAACTTCCTAAAAACATTTATAAAATATAATTCTGTTACAATGCACTGAAAGAGATGTTTGAGTCAGTTTGTGTTTCTGTGTTTGTTCTCAGGTTTACCCACATCTACAGTGACTGTGACACCAGCCGATCCTGTATTCACTGGAGAAACAGTCAATCTGAAGTGTGTGATAAACTCTAATCACAGTAACTGGAGATATGAGTGGTATAAAGGCAGTGTAAAGTTACAGACGTCTGGCCGTTACACTGTAAACAGAGACACTGTCACTATCAGAGGAGCTACTGGGTCTGATCAGGGTTGGTACGAGTGTAAAGGACAGATATATGGAAGACCAAACTCATCAACATCAAGCTCTGTTTATCTCTCTGTGAAGGGTGAGTTACACATCATTGTCCTCATAAACTCATTCTATGATCACACACACAATCAAGAGACTGTTCAGATTGAACTACTGTCTTACTTATCACAGCTTTGTGTCAGTGTTCTGCCCTGGCAGCCTTGTTTCTGTCGTCTTTGTGTCATGTTTCTTGTGTTTGAGCACATGGCTCTGTTTATGTTTGTGTTTGTCATGTGCTCCTCATGTCCCGCCCCCTTGTTTAGTCCTGGTCCAGGGGCCTGTACCATGAATCCGGTTTAGGTGGCTAGCCAGCTATGTTTTGCGGCAACCCTGGGTTTTAGGCACCATGGAAGTGGTTTTGCTTTTAACAGTGTTCATCGCCATAGTAACTTACACTCTACGGCTAACCTGGTCCGGGGCAGGTGAGGCTCCAGGTGAAAGGTTGCAAACGGAACTTTGACCAATCAGCTGTGAGCAAAGTGACACGTCTGACGTGATAAAAGTCACTCCTCCTGTTTCTGCTCCAAATTAAAGGTCACTGCAGCAAATGATTATTAAAGACAAAATCGTCTGGCTTTTAGTAATGCTTATTTAGAATAATACATTTGTATGATGTATAAATTATTCATGTAAATATTATACCCTTAATCGATCACATATGTACATTTTTTGTTCATCAATTACTATTACGCAGATTTTAAATTAATAAATATATAAAGTTGGTAATATAAATACACCTTAGAATCAATAGATAAAAGCTATAATATAACTTTAACGTGCACTGATATACAGGATAGCAAGACTTTTTTTAGTTGTCCTCTTTCATTGACAGCTATTTTCTTCTTGATGTGTAAATTTGTTTAAATTATTATTATTGTAATACTTTTATTTGAGAAGTGAATCGCACTGTTTCTCTTGCGAGAAATGTATTTCAATGAGTTTTGAATGAGTTTCTGATCTGCATCATGGTACCAACAAAGCCCGGTTGGACTGGTTTGGTTTTGTCAACACGAACGTAAACATGCAACCCTGAGTTTGTTGCCATCATGGTACCAGCCTCAGTAGTTTTTACTAATCGTGCTCACCTGATCCTCATGTGCTCTGGTCCCTTTATATTGTCCCTCATGTGTTTGCTGGTTCATTTATGTGTTGTTTTCCTTCATTGTGTGCATGCATTCTCGCTTCTGACAGTCAGTGCTAGATTTAGATTATCTGTCAGTTCTAGCTTTGTGTTTGTTTTGTTTTGATTAGATTTGTATCCAGTTTTTTTCTTTGTTCCTGATTTTAAGTCTCGTAAGGAAGGGCAAATGAAGCCTTATGAAGCACAGAGGCTTTCCCCTGCTTGTTCCAGGAAAAGATGTGAAGCATCAATAATGTTGAAACAGCGCCGTCTTGTGGCAGGACAAATGTATAGCAGCCACAAACCTGAGTGCGCGTCGCTGTTGTTTTAACTAAATGTTCAGTTTTCTGATAATATAATTCACATAGTAAAGTGTGGCAATAAATTAAATGTAACAATTAATACTAACTGTAAAAATACCAACAGTTGCTTGATGCAAGTAAATGGTGCTCTTATTATTTTATGGTCTCTATGCTGTTTATAATATGAAAGGATATATGATCATGTAACATGGGCTATAGGCATATTTAGATAAAAAAATAAAATAAAATAAAATGAAATAATAAAAAAAAAAAATTGAAAATTGACTTAAACTTCCGAAACCCTGTCGTGGTCTGGGCAGAGCCCGTCTAACGGAGAGCCTTGTCACTTCCTATTAGCCCCATTGTGCATCATCTTGGTTGTAGTTCCATTAGAATTCCACTGGAGGTGATCACGGGCGAGTGCAGAATGAATGGGAGTCAATGGGGCTAAACGGCTAAATGTGTCTCTTTCACCTGCTTGTCGTTAAATCAAAATAGATTTTATTGTTGATTCCGCAAGTTCAATATAAATTATAGGCCAAAAGTCGAATGAATGAGTACTTATGTCCTTTCGATTTCTTACAGGTTAGGCTGTTGTTGGCCAGAACACGCTAGCATTCTGCTATTGTGAGACGTCATCACATTTTTGAATGGATTTTTAGAACAGATAAGTGAACTTAAAAATGCAATTTTCAGCTGAGTGTATTTTCTTAGCCCTCCCTTTTGAATGCAACTTTCAAATTACTTGACAAAAAATTGGATTTCTGGGGGTGAAACCCCATTGACTCCCATTCATTCTGCACTCGACCGCGAGCGCCCCCGCATGGACAGAGACGCGTTACTGCAGCCAGTCCTGAAACCGGAAGTAACCAGCCAGTGCCAATTCTCTTCAATTAGACATTCTCTGGTCTGGGTTCAAATGTTCCGACACACAAACTATGTGAAGCATTCACGCAACTGGACAGAAAGTGAGGCTTCGTGTTTCATTGATCACATGTTTCTCTGAAAACAATATGCACTCCGACACAAAGCAAAATGAGTAATTTCACTGCGAACTCGATACACGCTTTAAAGCTTCAGTGTCATGTGTAGCATCACTAAAGTCTAGTCAAGTCTCTATCTTGATAGTTCTTACAAGTTTTATTTTTTATTTTTATTTTTATTATTAACTAATGTTTTATTTAATTTCTCTCTAATTCCCAAGGTTTTCTTTATTTATCCAAGTTGCTGTTATTTATGTCTAGATCTTTTATTTATTTTGCTGGATCCTGTTATTATAGTATAGGCCTGTCTTTATTTTTCTCCAGTCTCATCATCAGTTTTATTTCGCTTTTATTTGTTGTGTTGGCCGGTTCAGTCTTGTCTGGTGTTGGTTGATGATTCTCCTGGTCTGTTATTACGTCCAGTCTCATCTCCATCTGTCATGCTCTGATTCCCTGAGCCGCTGCCGTGTCTCCATCTTTGGCTGTCATGTCTTTCTGTCTCAGCTTCGACCTGTTCTCCAGTTGCGTTCCCTGCCCTATCGTGTAGACTGCATTTCTACCTCACATATCTTGTACTTGTTGTCAATAAATGACACCCCTTGCTTTTTCTGCACTGGGTCCTCAGATCTCCTGTCAGCTTTGTATTATATATGTATTAGATCTACTATCACCCATGTGCATCAGAACACATTATACACTGATATATTATTTAACCTTATCACATGACCTCATGACATGTCATGTTTAATGCAATGATGTTATAATATATAAAACTTAATTGAGATCTTCAATGTCCTCAAAACATTTACAAAATGTAATTCTTTCAAATTGCACCTGAAAGAGATGTTTGAGTCAGTTTGTGTTTCTGTGTTTGTTCTCAGGTTTACCCACATCTACAGTGACTGTGACACCAGCCGGTCCTGTATTCACTGGAGAAACAGTCAATCTGAATTGTGGGATAAACTCTTATTACAGTGACTGGACATATGAGTGGTGGTATAAAGTAAAAGGCAAAGACCGTGTAAAGTTACAGACGTCTGATCATTACACTGTAGACACAGACACTGTCACTATCAGAGGAGCTACTGAGTCTGATCAGGGTTGGTACGAGTGTAAAGGACAGAGAGATGGAAGACCAAACTCATCAACATCAAGCTCTGTTTCTCTCTCTGTGAAGGGTGAGTTACACATCATTGTCCTCTTAAACTCTCTCTGATACAGTATATATAATCGAGACAATGTTCAGACCGAACTCTCTATATAGACCATTTCACAAGATGTAAACAACACTGGTCCAGAAGCACTTCCTGTTTCAGTTTTTTAACACTACATAAAAGCTGGGATAAAATACAACCAACAGGACATATAAAACTGAATCAAAAAGTTAAACAAACATCTTTAAGATGTTTTCTTTACATGTGAAATAAAGAAAACAGTTACAAACTGAAACAGGAAGTGCTTCTGGACCAGTGTTTACATCTTGTGAAATTGTCTATACTGTATTCTACTATCATTATTAATATATTTGCAACAAAATACTTTATACTCTAAAAGATGCAGGGCAATTTTTTCAACCCATTCGCTGGGTTGAGACTGTTGGGTAAGAATGCTGGGTTGCAAATAAGTGACGCCAAAATGAATGGGAGTCAATGGGAATGCTAACGCAAGTGAAGTTCTGCTACAAGATGGCAGCTCCCGCGAGGCTTCAACTTCCGGTCGATGGATTACCCCCTTGGCCCATTCACTACCGAAGCGCATGACACTTGAAACCTGCGCAAGGGGGTCCCCCGGGAAAATTTTTTGAAAAATAAACCATTAAATTACACTTTCTAGAGAGTTTTGTGCGAAAAAAAAATGATATGTGAAAAACTGCAAGGTTAAGAACATATACTTTGCATTTTTGTATCAACATGTATTAGGGCATTTAGCATTTACATTACTGTTAATCAGTCATGTACTGATTAACTCAAATAAATGGTTGATTTGATTTCCATTTACTATAAAATACTAAAAAATATAATCAATCTATCCCTTGTGGAAAGGTTGCTTGGTAGCTAAAAGTAGGTCTAGCAATTATATTTCAAGTTTTTCACACAGATCAAACACAAATGCTGACTGAATAGATTGCTAGTTTATTTTGAGTAACGTTAGCCAGCTAGCAGCTCTCTTGGCAGTTTGCTGATAATCCGGTGTCTGAAGTAAAATGCTTAAAACATCTCCTGAGAAAAATACCAACCAAGTCTGTCCAAGTCCAAGTCTTAATTTTGGTTTAGTCTTATTTTACTTACATTGTCATTCAAGGCCAGGGCACTTTTTGTACATTTTTAGAACTTTTGCGCGCTTCCACATCCCAACTACAGATCTCCCAGGAACATATTGATGCGTACATTTATCCGTGTCACCTAGATGCGCATACGCGAGCGGTGCGCGATGCCGCGATCATGGTCGATCGACCATCAACTTAGATTTTGAGATCACGTATAATGGCTCCTACTACGCCAATAGTTCTCAAATTCACATCTACGTGCTCTCGAGTTTAGCTACTCATTTACCTTCAGTGGTCGAACGCAGCGCTAAGATCGAACTATATTATTTTCAATAACTTATGCAGTGTTAGTTATTGTTGTGGTTTAATTGTGTTGATGCATTTTAGTTTGTTAACTTGTGATAAAGAGTTATTAAAACTCTTATTATCTCTATATTTTTGCATGTATATTTTTTGCAAGTTATATAATTGTCATGTAGTTCTCAAACAATTTAAGATTGTAAGTTTAAATTTTGGAGTTTAAACCTTTTGCTTGATTAAGTTGATGCACTATATAATAGAATTATAAAGTTGAAACCAATAAATTATTTATAGGTGGGGTAAGTGTATAGTGTAAACATTACATTCATTTTATTCAGCCTTGTCATTCGTTCATCATCTGCACTTTATTTTTGTGAATCATTATTTTGTTCTGCTTCTGCTATGATAAACACACATCCTGGGAGGCATTGTAGTCCTCGCACTGGCTCCCTGTCAGGTTTCATGTGGATTTTAAAATGATCGTGCTTATACTGATATGGGTTTCCATGGCCTTACTCCTCAATATTTGTCAGAACATTTAATCCCATACATCACAAACTCGTGATCTCTGCTCCACTGAAGCTGGTCTTTTAACTGTCCCGCCAACTCGTTTAGGATCTATGGGCGATGGGGCTTCCTCTTCATTTGCTCCAAAACTATGGGACTCTCTGAGTGTTTTAAAGCTTTCCTCAAAACAGACTTTTTTTAGGGTAGATTTTAGTTGATTTATTTCATTTCTTTCTTTATTTTTTTCTGTACCATTTTCTCATGGAACTCTTTTCATAACATGTTATATTTGTATTGTATATTTGAATGCATTTCTCTTTTATGAATGATTTTCTTTATATTGTTGTATTACTCTTTTATATTTTCTTAATTTTGTGAATCGCTTTGAGATGTAGCTTTTAAAGGCACTATAGAATGTAAAGTTTATTATTATCATAACATGGATCATGATACTGTGATGCTGTTTTAATCAATATTTACTCATATGTGTATTAATACAGGAAAACCTGTAGTGAATGTGAAGCCAGATCAGCGTGTGTTCAGTGGAGAGAGAGTCACTCTCACATGTGTCATACAGGGAGGAGGAAACATTCAGTGGAGATACAGCTGGATTAAAGATGGAAACACTGACTATCCATTTATAACAACAACAGCATCAGAGATCAGTTTCGCAGCTGATGAGTCTCTCAGGGGTGAATACAGATGTAGAGGAAAGAGATCAGACTCACACACAGACTTCAGTGATGGAGTTACACTGACTGTATCAGGTGAGTCTTCATATTCACATCTGTTTAATCATCATTTAATATCCATATTTCAACACTTATGATCTTCTGTATCAGCCACGTCTAATCTTATAAGAAATTCACTTTTAGTCATGATTGTGTTGAAGTGTTGCACATTTTTATCTGGATATTTTTTTTTAAAACTTCATGTAAATTGTGATTTTCCAGTGTTAAAGACGTCTCCATCTTTGAGATTTACTTTAGTCACTGTTAGTTTGGTTACAGGAGATATTTAATAATAGAAAAGATGAGATTTGTCCGAGAGAATGACGTGACTTACAGACACTGATGTGAAATGAGTTGATGAAGTCTTCAGATATTCTGATGAAGTTGATTCAGTCTCAGTATCTCCTCATATGAGCTTTAGTTGGAGATCTTCATCTCTCCTTCAGGAGCTTCATTCTGCTTTCTGTGGCGAGTCAGAGCCTCAAAACAACTGACATGATAAAACTAATGACAGAACAGCAACAAAACACAACTAATACTATGAAATATGAGACAAAATCATCATGACTCATCATGTTAGTCTGCCCGAATCAGCTTCAACATCAATATTAGAATATATTACAATATGTTTCTTCTCTAAAAGATCTTAATTATCATTGAGACGATTCCTCCTGATGTCAGTAATATGTAAATATCAGCGGAGTGAAACTCGATCACTTCTAGTGTGAAACGGCAGCGGGACGTCAAGAATAATCCTGTGTTCAGAAGATACATGAAGGACACATGGAGGCCCGTCTCAAACAATATCAAAGATGTGGGAACGGAAGGCTTTCAGTTTCATTGTTATCCTCAATTTACTTTTAAGACTAAACTTCATTTACATGTAGAGCTGGAGGAAGAATGTAATACAGTATATAATGTTTGAGCAGAGATTATTCTGGGTTTATTCTGACTCTGATGAACGCAGGAGCTTTAATGCACTTTGTCACTGTTGCTGCAATAACACTTCATCATTGAGATCTTCAACATCCTCGAAACATTTATAAAATATAATTCTGTTACAATGAACTGAAAGAGATGTTTGAGTCAGTTTGTGTTTCTGTGTTTCTTCTCAGGTTTACCCACATCTACAGTGACTGTGACACCAGCCAGTCCTGTATTCACTGGAGAAACAGTCAAACTGAAGTGTGTGATAAATTATTACAGTAACTGGAGATATGAGTGGTATAAAGACAGTAAAAAGTTACAGACGTCAGATTATCGTTACACTGTAAACAGAGACACTCTCACTATCAGAGGAGCTACTGAGTCTGATCAGGGTCAGTACTGGTGTAAAGGACAGAGAGGTGGAAGACCAAAGTCATCAACATCAAGCTCTGCTGTTTATCTCTCTGTGAAGGGTGAGTTACACATCATAAACTCTCTCTGATACAGTATATATAATCGAGACAATGTTCAGACTGAACTACTGTCTTATTAAATTCAGTAAACAGGGCCAATAATTAACACTCATCATAAGCCAAATGTGAGTAAAAATCAGTGAGTGTGTGAACGGTGTCAGTCGGCCAGTTTCTACACAAAGTGAGCAACAGTGAATGACACTCTGTACAGTTGACGTGTCAGCGCTTCATCATCACGAAAGTTTCAGCCTTTCCAATGTAAATATTCAAGAGCTGGAAGTGAAACAGCGAAAGGGAGTTCGTAACTTGTGTGTGTGGTCCGTCCGTGTATCTTTTGGCCATTTGATTTCCTGTTTGGAATGGAATAACGAGAAATGAAAACCAGCTTGTTTATTTGTTGCTTTGTTGAGTTTAAAAAAAAAAGAAAAAATTGATTTTGGGTTGATTTTTCATTTTTCGTTTGTGGTTTACAAATCGGTTTATGGGTTCGATATTTCATTTACGCTGAAACGCCCCTTTCATCTGATTGGTCAAACCGCTCCGCCTTCAGTACGAGCTTTTCTTTCTGTCCGGAAGAATAAGAGTCACGAGTGCGGCACTGACAAATGCACTTTAATAAAATAATGTCTGAAACCACCACTCACTGTTAACTACGCACAATATTTGAAGCAGAAATATGTTGCTGGTCACGTAACTCCATTAATGTGAGCCACATACGCCTACATATGACAGATTATTTTAGCATGATGTATTTCGCATTGATAAATACTGTGCAAATAGTTCAGTGTTTTGGATAAAAGGGAAGTGGAAATAAAAATACAATACTAAACGTAACAGTACCATTATAAAATATGTCCGTATCATGAGATGTCTGTAGACGACCTTCGGTTACATTAGAAATAGGGGATAACACTGTATAAAAATACTGTATAAAAATCATTATGTCTAAAGTTCCCGCATAAAACATGAAAACCCAACAACCCAATGGGAATATATCCTTGTTGTGTAAAACATCTGTTCATAATCTGTGATTACACAATTCCAATATGAATAGCACCGGGAGATCATCAACAATCATCAGTCCAGCTAATCTCACAGTGGGATCATATTCAGAATGTCCTTCTCGTAAAACACACAAATGATGGGCTTCCTTTGTTACATACATTTGTGCATAAATGTTTGCATTCAAGTTTTTCGTACAGACAGACAGATTAATAACTAAACTGTGTATCTGATTTGTCATTTTATTTCTGCTTTTCTTCCCGCATGCACTGTTACTTTTCACTATGTTTGTCCTTATTCTCATTTTTAATCAAATTGTACCTTCTGATAGTCATTCTGTGTGTGTAAAGTGATTTAATAATGTCCAAGATTCCTGGTTTTATTTTCAAATTATTTTGGGTTAATCTTAATCCAGAAATGTAGGAATATTTCTCCAATAATTAGATTAAAAAACTTTTAGCCCAATCTGCTGCTAAACTGGGTTGTTTCTAACCCAGCAGTTTTTACCACAGTATATTATTGAACTGTATTATGCTACTTTGGCTCATGACCTCATCACATTGCATGTTTAAGTCAGTAATATTTTTACACTCTTAAATTATGTAAGATTTATAAATATTGCACAAGCTGTAATTCTGTGACATGTAAATAGAAAATAAAAGTATTACGTATTATAGACTCAGTTTACATGTGTGGCATTCTATACCCAGTCTTTTAGTTTATACAAAGTTTATCTGTATATAGTCTATCAATAAATAAAAAAATGTATGTAATCAATACAAACTTCCAACAAACTAGATATTTCATTTTAATACAGTGTTTGTCTCATAAGGAGGTTTTGAGTTCATAAACTCTAACATTGATCATGATACTGTGATTCTGTTTTAATCAATATTTACTCATTTGTGTATTAATACAGGAAAACCTGTAGTGACGGTGAAGCCAGATCAGCATGTGTTCAGAGGAGAGACAGTCACTCTCACATGTGACATACAGGGAGGAGGAAACATTCAGTGGAGATACAGCTGGATTAAAGATGGACACACTGTCAATCCAAATACAACAACAACAGCAGATTACAGTTTCACAGCTGATGAGTTTCGCAGGGGTAAATACAGTTGTAGAGGAGAGAGATCAGACTCACACACAGACTTCAGTGATGGAGTTACACTGACTGTATCAGGTGAGTCTTCATATTCACATCTGTTTAATCATCATTTAATATCCATATTTCAACACTTATGATCTTCTGTATCCGCCACATCTGTTCTTATAAGCAATTCACTTTTAGTCATGATTGTCTTCAGATGAACTGTATGTCATGTTTGTCGTGTGTGTGTGTGTGTGTGTGTGTGTGTGTGTGTGTTGCACATTTATATCAGGATACTTTTATAAAATCATGTAAATTATGATTTTCCAGTGTTAAAGACGTCTCCATCTTTGAGATTTACTTTAGTCACTGTTAGTTTGGTTACAGGAGATATTTAATAATAGAAAAGATGAGATTTGTCCGAGAGAATGACGTGACTTACAGACACTGATGTGAAATGAGTTGATGAAGTCTTCAGATATTCTGATGAAGTTGATTCAGACTCAGTATCTCCTCATATGAGCTTTAGTTGGAGATCTTCATCTCTCCTTCAGGAGCTTCATTCTGCTTTCTGTGGCGAGTCAGAGCCTCAAAACAACTGACATGATAAAACTAATGACAGAACAGCAACAAAACACAAGATACCCTCCACCTCTATAAGTACGGTACGGAGAACGGTTTCCAGAATGGGCTGACTGCCAAGGACCGCTTGGAGGGAAGTTTTGACAGATTTGATCTCCCTCTCCCATACACCACCAAAATGAGGTGCATGGGGAGGATTGAAGCGGAAGGTGATCTGTTGCTCAGCCAGTTGTTGTCTCAGATTGGGCTCCATAGCTTCAAACGATTTGCGGAGTAACACATCACCTCCCCTGAAGTTGGTTCCTCGGTCAGCCAAGATTTCGAATGGCTTCCCTCTTCGAGATATAAAGCGACGGAGGGCCATAAGGAATGCTTCTGTATCCATACTCTCAAGTATATCCGGATGTATACATCGGGTAGTGAGGCATTTGAAGAGTCTTCCCCAGCGTTTTTCACACCGGCGGCCCACTTTGACCTGGAATGGTCCAAAGCAGTCGACCCCCGTTGACCAGAAGGGAGGCTTGAACAGGCGAAGACGGGCAGTTGGTAAGTCCGCCATTCTTGGAATGTCTGGCTTGGCTTTCCACTTGCGGCACTCCGGGCAGGTGTTCTGGTGCCGCTTGATGGCACTCCGGCCCCTCAGCACCCAATACTTCCGCCGTATCTCGCCATGAACTCGCTCTGGTCCAGGGTGCAGAAGCTGCTCATCATAGCTCTTTATAATAAGTCTGGAAAGAGGATGATCACCATCAAGGACAATCGGATGTAGGACATCAGGTTCCAACTCCGCCCGGCGCAGTCTTCCGCCTACCCGGATCACATTCAATGCAGGGTCCAGCTCAGGGGAGAGGGAGACGAGTCGGCTTTTCCTCGGTAAGTCTCTATCTTTGAGTAGAGCTTGAAGCTCTTCTGGGAAACTCTCCGCCTGAGCTCCCTGGATCAGCAGTGTTTCCGCTGCAAGGTGAGAAGCAGCAGTAGCCGCCCCATCAGAGGCCATCTTGGATACTGCTGCAATCAGATCTTCTAACCTGCTGTATCGTGAAACATCAGGCAGCGGAGAGGCAGGTATCTCGTGAGTCAGGTAACAGGCGATAGACTTCCTGAGCTCATCCGTCTCACTCTCGGGCAGTGGAATGGACAACGGAGGGAAGACCGGCCACTGAGTTTCAGGTTTCCACAAGAACGATGGTCCCTCACTCCATCTCTGACGTTGTGCTAGCTCTTGCTTAATAACATGATGAGGTAAGTACCACGACTCAATAAGTTGACTCTCGCCCACATCCTTCACAATGGTCACATAACCAGCATCAAGAAGCTTCTGGATCTCATTATGGTGTATGTTGGCGAGTTCAGGATCCCTGTCCAGTCGTCTTTCTGTTCCCCGCAACAAGGGCATGACGGAATATTTGGAGACCGAAAGCAAAGGGCGATTCGGGGCACGCAGCAAGGGTGTGGCATATCGTTGAATGCCATCAACGGTCACAGGGACAGTCTTGGTCCGTAACAGCTCCAATGCATACTCATCATGCTTCGAGCGAGTCACATCCTTGCTGCTTCGGTGGGGATAAGCGTCCAGCTTCCACAACAACTCGACATTCCTAAGGAGCTCCACAGTGGCACAAGGTATCGGATTGGCGATAGAGGTCATGAAGAGGCAGGACTCGAGGTGCACATCCGGGCGGGAGGTCACACTAACAGGTCCCTGCATGGCCCAGCCTAATGCTGTATGAACTGCCACTGGTCCACCCTTCGGACCCATCCGGACAGGCTCAGTCGGAACGATCAGTTCAGGGTAATCTGAGCCGATAAGAACAAGAGGTGCTATTCGGGAAAAGGACTGAAGTGGCAACTCTCTCAGGTGGGGATACTGCTTCTTAAGGGCCTCTGCAGGGCAGGTGTGTTCAGCCAGGCTAAGGCACAGAGAGGTAAAGGCATTGTGGATGGGATATTTTATCTCCGGTTGCCCTGCCGGGGATATAGAAAAGGACACAGTCATGCCCTCCACCGGGACTACCCGCTGCCGTATAGTCTGCAGATAAAGCACCTCTGGCTCCCCCTGGAGGTGAAGATGTTGACCAGCAGTGGGCAAGATGATTGTTCGACTAGAGGCATCGTCGAGAAGAGCGAATGTCTCCAGGCTATGGCCCCCAGCGTGTAAAGTCACTCTCAAGACCTTAAGCAAGACCCTCGGTGAGCGACTGGGCAGGTCAAGGTAGACCGCTTCCTCATGGGGAGATTGAACCATCAAGATTTTGGTCGTATTCTGACTGCTGATGTCATGGAGGATGGTCAAATGCAGCTGGTTACACAGGTTACAAGGTTTCTTCAGTGTGCATTTGTCTGGCGAATGACAGCGGGCACATTTGTGGCACCTTTTATTCTCCACAATCCAATCCCTTAGCTGAGCTGGAGTGAACTTCATCACCTCTGGGCATGATCCAAAGTAGTGATCACGGTTGTTGTGATAAGGCCGACAGATGTTGAAGAGTGTATGTTCTCATGGTCCCATCCTTCAAGTAGCCTTGAGCATAGCAGTGCTCGACAAACCCATCACGATATGAAGGGGGCAATTTACCCATAAGCTTGTCCACATGTGAGCCACACTTTAGTTCACTGCCATTCTTCCCCTCTACCGACTCTAACAGCCCAATAAGAGAACTAACAGCGAGAGCAAATTCTTGAAAGGCAGCATTATCGCCCATCTTGATAGGTGGGGTGTTCAAAATGCTGCTTATCTCATTCTGGACTAGCTGGCGAGGTTGTCCATATCTAGTTCTCAGAGCAGCCAGGGCGGATGTGTAGGGGTCTCTGGCATACATATGTGACTTAGCCAGTCTATAGGCGCCTGGGAGCTTCAAATGGTCAAGAAGGATCTGGAACTTGAAATGCTCTGAAAGGTGGGTATGGATGCCCACCAGATTGCCCAAAGCCATATCCAGCAGAACAAAGTCGTTTTCTCTGCCACTGTCAAAGTAAGGCAACTTTGGTCTTGGAATTCCATATGCCGATGCAACTAACAGCTCCATCAGGTCAGTTCCTCTCTCAGGTAATGGTGGTGGCCCGACATTGTTCGGAGCCGCTGGGCATGCAGGAGGTACTGGAGATGGCTGCCGGGGCCCTGGAGGTGGATCGTCCCCTCCAGGAGATGGCACTGGAGGCTGTGGATCTGGCCCCTCACCTTCAGAAGTCGCGGGGCTCAACGAAGATTCGGAACACGGCTCATGACCCCTGGGAGGCTTTGGATACATTGGAGTCACAGGAAATGGCTCTTCATCACGGGAGGTTAGACGGCCCTGTGGCTCTATGAATGGTTCCCCACCGCGGGAAGACGCCAGAGGCACGGGAGGCACATACGATCCTTCATCCCGTCGTGGGTATCCTGCCCTCGTTTCAGTCTGTGGAAGCTGACGGAAAGGTGATTGGGTAAGCGTCGGGCTCTGATTTTGCTCTGTCGCGCCAAGGGAGATGGTATGGACATGACGAGATAGAGAAGAATGGAGATCCTCGGTTGGGAATGAGCTGAGATGTAGGGCAGGGCCTGGTCTCAGTTGCGGTCCGCCCGGCTGCTGAATATTCCAGGAGGGGTGGATGTCCACCTGCTGCTCTGTCTCACTCTCCTCCTTGATCAGAGCTGCAACCAGCCGAGCTTCTTCCAACTCGCGTCTCGCTTTACGCAGCCTTCTCTCCTCCTGCAGCCTCTTGGTAATCCCCTCTCTTTCTCGTAGGGCCTGGCGTGTTTGTTCATCCAGCTGCTGGTACCTCATATCCACTTCTCGCTCTTCCCTTATTTGCTCCTCCAACTCTTCCAGGGCCAGGAGCTTCCTCCTCTCCTCCAGTGTGGCTACTTGTCTGTCACTGAGAGAGATTCGAGAGGCCGAGTTACCGGATTTACCTCCAGTATCATAAGTATAGGTGGAGGATGATTCGCTTTTACGTGCAGAAGGCTTCTTTCGTTCATCAGGTTGTACTGGGGCTGGGCCGTCTGGCTGGATCCGCACGACCCCTGGCGAAGCCTTCAGCAAGCTAACATGTGGCCTGGAAAGGCCTGCAGCATCAGAGACGGAAGCTCTAGGAACTGTTGCAAAACCTCGTGGGATCACAGCATCACTGGATTGAAGAGGAACAGCTCGACCTTCTCCACTCCCGGGGGGCTCATGAAGCTCTGCCAAGGGCTCTACAGGGACTGGAGGTGGATCCGGATTAGCGCCGTCCACTCTCTCTGGTGAAGGGGGGGAACTCAAGTTAATGGCTAAAGTAGCACGGGGGTACGGCTGGAGCTCGTTGGGACAGTATAGCGGTCTGGTGGTCTCCTCACTCTGCGAGGGCGTGGATCGGTCACAATGGCATCACCTGGCTCAGATTCATGGCTGATCGCATCTGGTCGCTGGAGACCACGTTCTTCGTCTGGCCTCTCTGCCTCCAACCCATTACCTGACATCGTCTCTCTCCTCCGGCTCGAAGGACCATTGAACAAATTAGCAGCTACTCTCAGTGGGGGGCTGGGACACTTTGGAAAGAGGCAGGGTACAGGCAAACCACGGTCAGATGGTTGGAGAGTTGAATAAGGTTGGAAAGAGGAGGACACAGACAGAATTCAGCCAAGTTCACCTCAAAGGGTGTATTTATTAAATTGTCTCTTGTCTTCCTGGCTGGTATATGAGCGTGTGGGTATGGGTGTGTGTGCTGTAACAAGAACAAAGAAACAATCAGCACTCAACCAGCAATAACAGTTTAAATCAAAGTTCATATTGCCATCAACATAATATTAACATAAATAATCACAATATATCATATAATAATATATAATATAATTATATAACACAACGGTATTATAGTAACACATTGAAGATAAAGAACAAACATGTACAAACATGACAAGGCATGGAGAATAATTAATTTATGCTACTTCCGGTTGCATAGTACACGGTTGTTAGTGCACAGACACTCGCAGCCAACTCAATTGCACGCTGATGGCCCACAATGGACAGCAAAGGGCAGCTGAGATCATTAGAGATTGGTGTGGCAAACGTAATATCACCGCAACCACCACGTCTAACAGTTGCAAGTGGAGAAAGGAAAGTAACTCACGTTTGGAAGACGCACACAGGATTAATCACAAGGCTAGCAGGAGATCAGGAGATTGGAAATAGGAGATGCGAGTTCGGTTAGGTCACACCCGGATGCAAACAGAAGCACTGCTTGACCAGGTAAGTTATATCCCCTGCCTAATAATTAGTGACAGGTGTGTCTCCTGTGCAACACGCGAGGGAATCACAGCTGCAGGCAATTTGGGCCAATCATGGGGGATAGAGCGGGCGAGTGAGGCTTTTGTACACAACTAATACTATGAAATATGAGACAAAATCATCATGACTCATCATGTTAGTCTGCCCGAATCAGCTTCAACATCAATATTAGAATATATTACAATATGTTTCTTCTCTAAAAGATCTTAATTATCATTGAGACGATTCCTCCTGATGTCAGTAATATGTAAATATCAGCGGAGTGAAACTCGATCACTTCTAGTGTGAAACGGCAGCGGGACGTCAAGAATAATCCTGTGTTCAGAAGATACATGAAGGACACATGGAGTCCCGTCTCAAACAATATCAAAGATGTGGGAACGGAAGGCTTTCAGTTTCATTGTTATCCTCAATTTACTTTTAAGACTAAACTTCATTTACATGTAGAGCTGGAGGAAGAATGTAATACAGTATATAATGTTTGAGCAGAGATTATTCTGGGTTTATTCTGACTCTGATGAACGCAGGAGCTTTAATGCACTTTGTCACTGTTGCTGCAATAACACTTCATCATTGAGATCTTCAACATCCTCAAAACATTTATAAAATATAATTCTGTTACAATGAACTGAAAGAGATGTTTGAGTCAGTTTTTGTTTCTGTGTTTCTTCTCAGGTTTACCCACATCTACAGTGACTGTGACACCAGCCGGTCCTGTATTCACTGGAGAAACAGTCAATCTGAAGTGTGGGATAAATTATTACAGTGACTGGACATATGAGTGGTATAAAGACAGTGTAAAGTTACAGAAGTCTGGTCGTTACACTGTAGACAGAGACACTGTCACTATCAGAGGAGCTACTGGGTCTGATCAGGGTCAGTACGGGTGTAAAGGACAGAGAGATGGAAGACCAAACTCATCAACATCAAGATCTGCTGTTTCTCTCTCTGTGAAGGGTGAGTTCAACATCATTCTCCTCATAAACTCTCTCTGATACAGTATACATATAATCGAGACAATGTTCAGACTGAACTTGTAAAACTGGAAGAATTGGTTGAAGAGATCAACCTCACCACTGGTCTATGAGTCGAAGGACTTTGGCAATTTGAACACCTCTCACACACACACTCCTTTCCCGCATCCCCCATCTCTTGCACATATCACCCACACTCACACAAGAAGAATATATATGGCTTTAATTTGAACAACTATCATAAAGTTTTATACATGTCTTTAGTATTATTTGAAATGTCTCAGTGCGAATTGTACAAAAAAATAAATAAATAAAAATTACATCACATAGATCGCACTGTCAGAGAGTTTGGGAATATCCGCACATAACTTATACACATAAAACATGATATAAGAGTTTTAAAATCAAAAATTATAAAGAGAAAAATACATCACGGTTGTTTAAACCAATGAGCATTAAGCTGTGTCGCCAGCAAGTCGCTTCGCATCGTGCTTTTGATCAGCGCAGTCGGTGGAGATTGCAGAATCCGACACTACCGCCTTGCGCTCGCGAGAGTTTTTTGACATACGTCGGCATGACATCAGAGTCAAGCGGACCGCACTCGGACACATTTCTAACTGGCATACATCTCGCGCTGATCACCGGTGATCGGTTCTGCCAGAATTGAAGAGAATTGGCACTGGCTGGTTACTTCCGGGTTCTGGACTGGCTGCAGTAACGCGTCTCTGTCCATGTGGGGGTGCATGTGGGTCGAGTGCAGAATGAGTGGGAGTCAATGGGGTTTCACCCCCAAAAATCCACTTTTCTCAGGATGTAATTTTTTGTCAAGTAATTTGAAAGTTGCATTCAAAAGGGAGGTCTAAGAAAATACACTCAGCTGAAAATTGCATTTTTAAGTTCAATTATCTGTTCTTTTTTTTTATTGAATATGTATCAAATCCCAAATCAAAATCCGTTCAAAAATGTGATGATGTCACACAATAGCAGAATGCTAGCATGTTCTGGCCAACAACAGCCTAACCTGTAAGAAATCAAAAGGACATAAGTACTCGTTCATTCGACTTTTGGCCTATAATCTATATTGAACTTGCAGAATCAACAATAAAATCTATTTTGATTTAACAACAAGCAGGTGAAAGAGACACATTTAGCCGTTTAGCCCCATAGACTCCCATTCATTCTGCACTCGCCCGTGATCACCTCCAGTGGAATTCTACTGGAACTGCAACCAAGATGATGCACAATGGGGCTAATAGGAAGTGACAAGGCTCTCCGTTAGACGGGCTCTGGTTCTGCGCAGATTTTGCTCATCTCAAACAAGCCTAATGTGAGTTTGACACTGCTCTATAGGGCTTTGATTATGAGGCATGTCTTAACCGAACCAGGAAAAATAAATAAATTCTGCACTCAATTGGATAGACCTACAACCAATCAGAGCAACTCATTAACTGATGTATGTTGACAACAGAACTGCACGCACGCTGGAAGAAATGGTAAAATAATGAGTGTTGCTTCTTTTACTTGGTCTTCCATGAGTGCGACCAAATGAGAAACCACAACGACCACAGGGTTTCATTGCATCCCATCTTCTTAGCGACTTTATATATATACATTTCATAGTATATATGATATAATATGCTATAATTTGTATAGCCTAAATTTCTCAGGTCTATGAGGCAAGTAGACGCTGAGTTAAAGTTCATTTATGAGATGAGCTGCAGTTCAGTGTCTTGATTATTGTCTGCAATATACTTATTATTTATTAAATCCACGTTTGATGATGAAACATTGATTCAAATTTAGATATAATTAATACAAAACGGAATAAACTTTAAATAAAGGCTCAGTGCTTTCTGTTTAAGGTCTCTGTGAAAGTTTTAAAGCAGTCTTTTAGTGCCGCTTTCAGGGAACTGTCACGTCCGTAACATTTTTCCTAAATACGAACATGAAAAATAAAATAAAATTAATATTTTATGTTCTGTGGAGAGCCAACCCTTCTTCATCCGGTGGGTAGTATTACTTTAGGTTTGCGCAGTGTAATTCACACATTTCACAGAAATTACTAAAAAATATTTTGCACCTAAAAGTTAAAGATTTATGTCCCGCATGTGTATTTCCCTCATATTAGATATAAAATGCATGTGTTATATTTTTCTAATGTCTGGACTCCTTTATTAATGGAGTATGATATATAAACAGAAGTTTCAATAGCCTATATTAAATGCATTTTCTGAGAATTCATATTTCAGGTTTTGACTGCAAGTGTCACGTCCGTAGCGCTGGAATTGCCCAATTTTAAATCATGTATCCTCAACTAGTTTTGTGGTATAGGTCTACGTATTTTATAATGCTAATTTCAAATATAGTAAAGTTATGGTAGCTATATTGGATCTGGACGGGAAGGATATCTGTGAGTCTCGTGATTCTGTCTGAATTTGGGTCTTTAGCAGTTTAAAACACAAAAAATCCCAGCACACGGAACTTAAGTGTGATAACGACAAATATATTTTAGGTGGCTTTTCCCCACTATCATTAACATGGCTTACCTATAACGTTGACAACATGAACTGAGGAAAAGATGACGCACTTCTCATGTAGCCAACGCTACGGTACATCAAGAGGCCCAAACAGCGCTAAAGGCAGTAGCACCTCATTGCAGTACACGAGATCCAGGGGGCGGAGTCAGATCCAGATCTGAGGGGTGGAGTTGGGTAGGTTAAGGTGGGAGGAGTTGGATCTGGATCCGACTCCTCCCCGTGGATTTCCTGTTCTGTAGTGAGGACCATCTCGCTAAAGGCACTTGAATCTGTTTTAATACAATAGTGTTATGGGGACATCTTATGGACAACGCAATATACTGCCTTACATAAATAATGATTAATCGATAGTCGAATGAATGAATGAGTGTCACGTCTCGCTTGTTTACTTCGAACCGGACCCACACGCCAACTTTTGGCGCAAGGCCTCATGGGACGTAGGAGACTTGTGGATAAACATCTCAATTCTCCAGCGGCGGCCATCTTTGAGGGAAACCAGTTCAACCCAAGCGCTCTTTGATAACGTGATGATTACGTAACTGCAGATCATCTGTCCATCATCGTATACAGCCCGCCCTGGCAATCTGATTGTCCCGAAGATTTCTGAACTGATCATAATTACTCCTCAATGGATCGAGTCCAGACCGAACTTTCCGACCAAAAATGTTGTGGACGGGGTTCGGGCTGGCATCCAGGCTACATGATCACACAACCAATCGAGAGACTTTTACTCTCCTTCATACTGCTGATTAATAGTTGTCACTCCTCTTTAGAAAGGCTTGATTTTATTTTATTCTCTGTTCTTGTGTTACAAACTATTTGAAGGAGCAAAACTGAATGAAAATGAATGCAGAGGTCTGAAAATGTTTTTCTAAAAGTTTTTTTGAAGTGTAAACAGCTAAAAATAGTTCTGTTAATGGCTGATAAATACATTAATAATCATAAAACATTCTATTATATGTCGGAAGTTATTGTCATCGTTTTGTACCTGATTATAATTTACAGTTCCTTAAACATTTGATTTAAAATGAAAATTGTCATAATTTGATCTCACACACCCTCTCACCTTCTTTTTTCAAAATCTGTGTCTTTCTTCATTAGAACAAAACTGAACATTTGTTTAAAGTAGTTATATTCATATCTGTTTAATGCTACTATAAAATCCGTATTTCAGGACTTATTCTCTTCTGTATGAACTACAAACACTGAATGATTTGTGTAACACAGGTGAACTCTGACTCTGGAGGATCTGAATCTGTTGTTGTTCTCCTGCAGATCTACAGCCGAAGCCTGAACTCACATCAGATCCTGCAGGAGCTGCACTGACTGGAAACACAGTGACTTTGACCTGTCGCATGAATCTAACCAGAGACTGGGACATTTACTGGTACAAACACACACTGAACCCCGAGACAGAGAAGACACAAACACACTCCTACAGCCTGAAGATTGATTCAGTGTCTGATGGAGGCCAGTACTGGTGTAGAGCTGGAAGAGGGGAACCAGTCTATTACACACAATACAGTGATGCACTGTGGGTAAATGTTACAGGTGAGAGAGACTGTAGTGTGTGATGCAACAAATACAGATCAGAGACAATATCTACACAACTTCTGAAACTATAAATGCAATAATCTGTGTTTGTACAGTGAGTCCTAAAGCTGTGGTGACGGTACGACCTGATGAACGAGTGTTTAGAGGAGAAACAGTCACTCTCAGATGTGATATAAAGTGGGCAGGAGACACTGAGTGGACATACAGATGGGAAATAGAGGGAACCAACAACTGGGATAGAAACTCTGCCAGTCGATGTACAGAACAACACTGCTGCACTGGAGCTGATAAACAGACACACAGAAATGCTGTCAGTCGGTGCTCAACACAAGAGTTGATCATCAGCAGTGTCGATCTCTTTCACAGCGGTGAATACAGTTGTACAGGACTGATACACACTCACAGCTCTCAGCGCAGTGATGCTGTTACACTGACTGTCTCAGGTGAGTGTGTGTGTGTGTGTGTGTGATCAGCTTCTTCATCAGTTTCTCTACGGCTCTGTAACTCGTGATGTTTTGTTCAGCTGAAGCTCAGGCATCACTGCGAGTGTCTCCACAGCCGTGGCTGACTGAAGGAGAATCAGTGACTCTGATCTGTGAGGTTTCAGGCTCCTCTACAGGCTGGACGTTCAGCTGGTTCAGAGATCATGATCATCTGTCAGACAGCAGCAGAGGAGCTGGAGGATCTTACACTCTCAGTCCTGCTGCTCTACAGCACACAGGAGTTTATACGTGCAGAGCAGAGAGAGGACGACCAGCCTATTACACACACAACAGCAGCTCACACACACTGTGGCTCACTGGTGAGGGTTTCTGCTTGTGCTCATCTGCATCTGTGTTTCACTGCAGTCTCTGTGCTGTCAGTTCTGATGGAGATTTTCCTCTTTTCAGGAGTTTCTGCTTCAGTGTCTCTGGTCATCGATCCCAGCAGAAGTCAACACTTCTCATCTCAGTCTCTCTCTCTGAGCTGTGTGGATCAGAGTAACTCTGCTGGATGGACAGTGAGAAGATACACAGACACACACACACGAACCTGTGCCAAACAAACAGGATCTGGATGTGTAATCGACTCTCTCAGCACATCTGACTCTGGAGTGTACTGGTGTGAGTCTGAATCTGGACAGAAACGCCGTCCTCGAAACATCACTGTACACGGTGAGTCCGGTTTATAATCTAAATTCAAAACAAAAAGTCTATATACATTTTCTTATTTTCTGTACAGCTGCCAAACATATGTATAATTTGAATGGGTTTTCCCAGACATATCTATTATTATGATGTTAGATGAACCTGCCCTTAAATAGCACATAAAAACAAAGCAATCAAGTAATTCTCGTTCATCAGACAGATTAAGCTGCAAAATGGACCTGATTTTATTCCAGTGGTTAAACATCTGATACACAACCAACAAAGCCTCATGACAATTTTACCTTTGTTGTAAATTGGTGGCTAATTGGTTGCTTTCTGTAAGGCATATGATGACATGATAAGGCATTCAAACCAATGAAATACTGTCAACAGAAAGTTTGCTCCCACTATTCACCTCTTCCCACTCTCTTAAACAATCCACCATAGGAAATATTAAAGAGAGTGGAAGTGATCAGCTGTTTCCATGTGACCGTGAATAACCACTAAGAAATAACAAGGAATTAATGTCATGGCAACCCAGCACGTCAATCGGCGCTCTAGTCTAGATGCACGGTAGAAACTCGGGTACCTCTAATGAGGTGGAGTCCCGTCGCCTATTCCCCGATCTACAGTTCCTCTGCTGGTGCCACTTCGGCTAATAAGGCTTGGTGACCTGAGGATCACAGTGAGGGCTTCCCTGACGAGTCCACCTCCTGGGGTCGCTCACTCCTCTAGCGCAAGCATGCTGAGACTGCGTTTTGGGTGGTTTATGTTCTCTCATGAGAGCATCACCACGTCGGCATGTTGTTCTTCTTGCCTTTCTCATAAAAGTTTGAGGGTTCAGCTTGTCATGTACCGTCGAGTTTGACAGCCAGGATCACAGTCTCATATGCCTGGCAGCAGTGTTGTGCACTCGAGACTCGGACTCGGTCTCGAGTCCATATTTTAACGGACTCGGTCTTGTCATGGACTCGTGTGCATTTTGACTCGGAATTGACTCGTACTCGAACATATTGGGAGTCGGGACTCGGACTTATTCCAAAGTCCACTCGAGTCCCATTCAAAATATGTCATGATTATTACTGTATGTTAATATTTCTTTCAATTGTTGTTTGATTGAAACGTCCAATGATTAGTGACTTTCTTGTGCGCAACTGCGCATGACTTGAGTGGAGCCTCTAGCTCAACTATGTTTCGAAAATGTCTGCCTTATCATCCCTAATTCAGTTTGCATATAAGAGCCACACAGAATTCGTGTGCAGTAATGTTCTGTGAAAGGGCACTTACTGATTGTAACAATTGTAAGTAATAATCATAATAAAATTCGACCCTCTATGGTCTCGGTCTCGACTCGGACTGGACTCTCTTTGGTCTCGGTCTCGACTCGTACTCGACCCTCTATGGTCTCGGTCTCGACTTGGACTTGACTGTCTTTGGTCTCGGCCTCGACTCGGACTCGACCCTCTATGGTCTCGAATGGGACTCGACTCTCTTTGGTCTCGGTCTCAACTCGGACTCGACCCTCTATGGTCTCGGTCTCGACTTGGACTTGACTGTCTTTGGTCTCGGTCTCGACTCGGACTCGACCCTCTATATGGTCTCGACTGGGACTCGACTCTCTTTGGTCTCGGTCTCGACTCGGACTCGACCCTCTATGGTCTCGACTTGGACTTGACTGTCTTTGGTCTCGGTCTCGACTCGGACTCGACCCTCTATGGTCTCGGTCTCGACTTAGACTCGACTCTCTTTGGTCTCGGTCTCGACTGGGACTCGACTCTCTTTGGTCTCGGTCTCGACTCAGACTCAACCCTCTATGGTCAAGACTTGGACTTGACCCTTTATGGTCTCGACTGGGACTCGACTCTCTTAGGTCTCGGTCTCGACTCAGACTCGACCCTCTATGGTCTCGGTCTCGACTTAGACTCGACTCTCTTTGGTCTTGGTCTCGACTGGGACTCGACTCTCTTTGGTCTCGGTCTCGACTCAGACTCAACCCTCTATGGTCTCGGTCTCGACTTGGACTTGACTGTCTTTGGTCTCTGTCTTGACTCGGACTCGACCCTCTATGGTCTCGACTGGGACTCGACTCTCTTTGGTCTCGGTCTCGACTCGGACTCGACCCTCTATGGTCTCGGTCTCGACTTGGACTTGACTGTCTTTGGTCTCGGTCTCGACTTGGACTCGACCCTCTATGGTCTCGACTGGGACTCGACTCTCTTAGGTCTCGGTCTCGACTCGGACTCGACCCTCTATGGTCTCGGTCTCGACTTAGACTCGACTCTCTTTTATCTCGGTCTCGACTGGGACTCGACTCTCTTTGGTCTCGGTCTCGACTCAGACTCGACCCTCTATGGTCTCGACTTGGACTTGACTGTCTTTGGTCTCGACTTGGACTCGACTGTCTTTGGTCTCGGTCTCGACTCGGACTCGACCCTCTATGGTCTCGGTCTCGACTTGGACTTGACTCTCTTTGGTCTCGGTCTCGACTCAGACTCGACTCTCTTTGGTCTCGGTCTCGACTCAGACTCGACCCTCTATGGTCTCGGTCTCAACTCGGACTCGACTGTCTTTGGTCTCGGTCTCGACTTGGACTCGACTCTCTTTGGTCTCGGTCTCGACCTGGACTTGACTGTCTTTGGTCTCGGTCTCGACTCGGACTCGACTCTCTTTGGTCTCGGTCTCGACTCGGACTCGACTCTCTTAGGTCTCGGTCTTGACTGGGACTTGACTCTCTTTGGTCTCGGTCTCGACTCAGACTCGAGTGAGCTGGTCTCGACTACAACACTATCTGGCAGCCTCCGGATGGAATTGCTGGTCCTTCTCATGGGGGCCCTATAATTCTGGGCTCCAGCAGAGGATCAGATGTTGTGTTATGCTTTGGAAAAGTATATGATGCTGAGCTTCCCATTGTAATGGTGTGTGTGTGCTCATGCTGAATCAGATTCAGAGTTGACAGTCATGCGTTCCCTCGCCTTGCCACGCCCCATGCCTTTTTCCCCGGATGCACATGGATAATTGGCAGTATGGAAGCATGTTGGCGCCTATATGGAAGGCCAAAAGCTGCAGGAATTTTTTTTTCTCTCTCACTACCTTCGCCATTTAAGTCCCAACGCAGGCCCTGTGCCAGACGATGTCCACCCAGAAACGCCCCCTAGCTAAACCTTGCAGGGCTGCGAGATATCATCGAAGTTTGCTTTCTCAATGCTCCCATGTCACGAGGTGGCCTTTCACGACACTGTTGGAGATTGTTCCCAGCGGTTCTCTGCGGTTCAGAAGCAGGCTGAGGGATTTAAGAGCTTGCCCTGACATGCTACCAGAGTCACTCGTGGGCTGCCCCTCAGTCTGTTCGTCGCCAAGGGTGTCAGTCCCCTACGAAAAACCAATAAGTCCGCCACAGCCAGCTCTGCTGTGTCATGGAGCCTTCGCAGGATGACGGGCGACCCAGACATGAAGGGAGCTTCTCTTCGGGAGATGGTGACCGCACCTCTTCCTCCCCCGGAGGAGGGCCCAGTGGAGAATAATTTGTTTCATTTTGTGTCAGACGTGGATATGCGATTCAGTTCGTCCGGCGCCCATGGTGAAACCCTTTGTTTTTAATATAGTTATATTATATAATGTTACGTATATAAATGTTATAATAGTGATTTTATAATGTCTTAATATGAATTTTAGACCAATTTTAGTGAGTAGTATGACAAAATGACTATTATAACCAGCTGATGGCATCAGAGGGCCAGTCATTGTCTCACTTTCAAAAGCTCCAGGGTACAAATTATCATTTCAATATTTTTCGTATGTATTGTTTTGCTATATTCTTCTATTAAACTCACATATCTTGTGTTTGTAGACGGTGAGGTGATTCTGGCGAGTTCTGTTGATCCTGTGATTGAGGAAGAGACTCTGACTCTACACTGTTTACATCGATCTACAAACTCCCCGATCTCCAGCGCTGATTTCTATAAAGACGGATCACTGATCCAGAATCAGACGACAGGAGAGATGAGCATCACTACTGTCTCAAAGTCACATGAGGGTTTCTACTCCTGTAAAACAGAGAGAGGACAGTCTCTCCACAGCTGGATCTCAGTCACAGGTCTCTGAATAATCACTGATGATATTATTGTAATATTATCATACTCGCGTCACTCACGGACAGATCTGTGTGTTTGTCATGTTCTTCAGTCTCAACAGCTTCATCTTTTTATCTGGCCGTTGGTGTGTGTGTAGGATCGAGTGTTTGCTTGTTGTTCTTCATCTCACTGGTTCTGCTGTGCAGACACAAACACAAAAAAGGTTTGGATCAGTTCATCACAGGTTATGAATTATTAAACCACACGAACGGCAACAAATGGAAGATACAGTTTCTGAAGCCTAGACAGTCACTGCATGTTTATTAATAAACGAGCAGTTTATGCATATAATCAGAAAAGATGAGTGACAAACTCTTACAGTGACCATAATGATCTTTGTCTTTATTATAGATCAGCAGATTCAACAGACATCAGACCCGAATCCATCCAGAGAATCTCTACCGTTAAACTCTCGCCTAAAATCTGGTCAGATGCACTAACACATGATTTAAAGGGATAGTTCACTCACAAATAAATTCAGTCTCATTTATTTACACTCATGTCATTATAAATCTGTATGACTTTCTTTCTGCTGTTGAACACAAAAGATGATGTTTTAAAAAATATTTTCCATGCATTTAAAGTGGTCTGATGATGTTTGGAACCCAATATTCTTCAAAATATATATATATATATATATATATATATATATATATATATATATTAACTATATATCCCATTAAGCTTTATGTGTATTTTTTATTTTATTTTTGTTGTTGTTCTATACTGATTTTACCTTTTCTCCTCAATGTTTCCTATCCAGCAGATTCTGATCACATTTATGATGACGTGGTTTCAGTGAATAAGAGAGACAAAGGTTGAGTATTAAACTCTATATAAACACTTATAATTTAAAATTAACAAATATCATTCATGTCGGCTTGACTTGTATGTTTTAGAGCCGCTGGAAGACGTCACATATTCAGAGGTCACTGTTAAGAAAAACATATCAGTGGATAAAGGTTAAAAACCCTCATCAATAGAGTCATTAACCAATAACATTGATGGCGTCTGATTTATATTGCACAAAATATGAATAAAGAGATTTTCACGAATGCACTATTTTCCCAGATGAACCAATGGCAGAGTCAGATAATGTGATGTACTCAGAAGTGAAAACAAAAGGAAAGAAATGCAAAAGCAAAGGTGAGATCCTGTTTTTCCTGAAGAACAATATTATTAGTCCAGCATATTCTGAATAATCAGATTTATTTTCTGTTCTGTATTAGATATTAATACTGCAGGACCCAGTGATTTGACTTACGCACAGATCAATATACAGGACAAAAAGAGTAAAGGTAAACACTCAACAAACTGCATCTAAACACTGTCTGAATGAATCATCACATTATATAATATATAATGCTTGTATATTCATAAAAGATAACCATTATTAGCAGAAATGATAAAGTCACCTTTATTTTAGAAATATAAGAATAGTTTCATCAATCAGATATTTCCTGTAATGAATAAGTCAGATAATCGAGCTGGTGTTTTATGTGACAGGCGCTGGACTCGCTGATGTTCTGATTGAAATGAAATCTAAGGAGAAACACAGAGGTAATAAAGAGATGCTCTGAAATATTGTCTTCTACAGGTTACAGATCATGTGAAAATAAAGTATATAAACATTGATTGTGGTTTGAGAAGTTCTGTTCTCTCTTGATATATGGATCATCAGTTATTATTGTTACAGATGTAAAGTGTGTGTTTATTCTCTGTTTCTCTTGTTCATATCAGGGAAGAGCAGCAAGCCTGAAGACACTTTATACTCTGAAGTGAAGATCAACACGGATAGAGGTGAGACAAATAGTCAAGCTTCATCACTGTTAAAGTTAAACATCAACAGATCAGAATGATTCATAAAGTCATGAGGATTATTGAGGAAGTGTGGGAATCGGATAACATTTGTGTTCTTCAGGTGCGGATGCTGGAGTCGCTGATGCAACTTATGCTCAAGTTTTAAGGAAGAAAGATCACAAAAACAATAAAACACGTAAGTTTATTTTGTTACAAGGATTTTATACACTGTAAAAAATAATCGTAATTTTAACAGTAAAAATTGTAAAAATTCTACAGTGCAAAACTGTTAATTGGTTAGAAAGTTTCCGTACTATATACGGTAGATAAATATTTTCAAGATTTGTTATCACAACATATTTTCTTTTGTCAAATCAACTTTATAACAATTTATTTAGTTGAGATAACTTATTATTTTGAGTTTCTGATTGTTTAAAATAATCTACTTCATTGTATTAACTCACTTTTTCCAGTTCAATCAACTTAAAATTTTAAGGCAACCAGGTCACTTACTTTTTTAAGTTAAACCAACAATATTTTTTTACAGTGTAGTAATCACAACATTTTTCTTTTGTCAAATCAACTTAAATAATTTATTTATTTAGTTCAGATAACATATAATTTTGAGTTTCTGATGATTAAATTAATCTCCTTCATTGTATTAACTCACTTTTTCCAGTTCAATGAACTTAAAATATTAAGGCAACCAGGTTACTTACTTTTTTAAGTTAAACCATCAATATTTTTTTACAGTGTGTGATATCATTTTACTGTAAAATTCCATTAAATTTACAGTTTTTGAAAGTTAAAAAGAACAACTCGTTGTATAATTTAACCGTAAATTGGTATTCCCACAATTCCCTGCGTCACACTTCACATTTGAAGTATTTTGTTGAAATAACTATGGTTCCTCATAGTTTTATTGTTTTGGGTTTTTTTTTTTTCTAATTAGTTATGTACATTAGGGTTTTATGGTACATTTAATGTTGTCAAATTAATGATTATTGCATTTTTTTAATTTTATGTGTGTTAATGTTTGTGTGAATGACACTGTTCAGCTTCTTCAAATAAGTATAAACCTTCTAATGGAAGAATGATGAGCTCATGTAACTCTCATCACTGCTGTGATGATTGTTGGTTGTCAGTGTATTACAATGGCACAAAACAGATATCAATTTTTCAAAAGGTTGGTAAATCAACAGATTTCAGAAAACGAAGTACAGTTTATTACTGTAAATTTTAAGTTAAGTCTGTAAAACCATTTACGTTCCTGCCGTAATTCCTACCGTATTTTTAACGGTAATGTTCTGGCAACCACAGCTGGCGTTTTTTTTACCGTAAAAATTACGGTTTTATTTTGTACAGTGTAGTAACTGACTATTTTCACTTTCATGTAGAATATAGATCTGCTTTAAAGGTGCCATATGTAATAATTGAGGTAACAACATACGAAAAATGAGCTACACGCATCAAAAGAATGAGAAGAAATAAGTGCAAAGATGTCTGATGTCTAAAAAACTGACAAGTTATAGTGCTGCCGAGATATTAACCTGAATTAGCATGCTAAATTACTAGCCCCGGCCCGGCAGGTATCGTAATACCAGTTCCGGCCATGGGAGGCGGTATGCGGACGGGCAACGTTAGCACCAGCCAAACTGCAATAGACGAGTGAGTCGCGCTCGCGCCGGCTTGTGTGTACTTGAACCTGATGTCAGTCGTGTGGAAATACAGCCAATTACTACATTTCAGTTCAGGGAAGAGTTCAAAAAATGATTGGTCGACATTATGCATGAGGAATACATTTTGGTAAGTTGTAGCATACTGTATCTTTCACCAGTGTTCGTGTTCTTTTTCAAGCTAGTAGAGACGATCGGTTCACGTGCGCTAGGGATCTGTAGTGTAACATGTACAAGCGCCAAAACGGTATTTATTCTTTGAATTGCGTAATATAATTGACAGAATCTGAGAGCTTAACTAACCTGCTTGCTAAGTGTCAATTGCGTGTGTCTCACGGTGAATTCACGGCGCTAGCTTGATCAACATCAGCGAATGCTGTCTGTCAAATTAATTCACTAACAATAAAAGTATAATATGAACAAAACGAATACCATAAACTTCAAATAATTGCCCAAGCTTTTATTTTCCCATACCGTCGAAATGCACCAGCTTGTTTTTGAGATCTATGAGGCGGTCTTCATCATTTAGTGTTGAGATTCATAGTGTTTAGTTTAGTTCACTCTAGTGTTTAGTTCATTGAGTCTCTGATCTCTAAAAATCTCCAAATGTTCCACGTGAAACTGCGGTCTTCCAACCTTTTACTATCATGTCAAATGATTTGAATAACATGCGCGATGGTAGGAGCACAAGTCATTTTTTGGAGGTATACTGCCCCCATCTGTTATGGAATATGGAGTAGGATTTGATTTATTATGGTAGATGGCACCTTTAAGTGATTCAGTTCAGTTATTTGTGAGGATCAGGTTCATTGTGATCTTAAAACTGTAAATCATCAACAGCATGAGCTCAAATCAAGGTTTGTATTTTCCAAGAATAATTCCTCAAACTGTGTTCTCTGTTCAAAGGTCCCTGAGAGCAGCGAAGAAAACAGACGACAAAGAGAAAGCGCAGAAGAAATGAGTCTGAGTGATGCTTATGCTCATGCTTGACTGAAAGAGAACGGCACTCCATTATCTGCACTCATATTAATAATAATAATAATAATACATTTTATTTGTAAGGCACTTTACATTTGACACCAAATCTCAAAGTGCTACAGTAAAACAGTGTTAAAAATAGACATAAGAAATTCAGTAATAAAAACAGAATATGTTAGAAAGAGGAATTAAAAACAAGCATTAGCTATTAAAATAAGCCTGTGTAAAATTATTATATAAGGAAATGTAAAACATGTTCTCTCTAGTGATGCCATTTTCTCTATTTTTGATGACAGTCTTACATTCGATTCTTTTGTACATATTTTTAATCTCAGAAATATAGCCAGATTGCGCCTACATTTCTCTGTAGCTGAAAAGCGGATGAACTCATTTGTTGTCTCTCGGATAGATTACTGTAACGCCCTTTTAGCCAAAGTGTTAAATCCACTTTAAATAAGCAGTTCAATTCTCCTCCGCCAGGATCTGGACCAGTACGTGCAAACATATTACTCCTGTTGTGGCTCTCGCTCAGGTCCAGTGTCGCTTTTAAAATGATGATGCTGGCATTACATGGCTTGGCTCCTCATTGTTTATCTGCATTGTTAACCCATTACAACCCAAATCACAGACTCCTGGCGGTCTAATTCGCTCACACTTCCACAAACCCGCTTAAAGGGTTCACCCAAAAATGAAAATTCTGTCAGTATTTACTCACCCTCATGTTGTTCCAACCCTGTAAGACCTTCGTTCATCTTCGCAACACAAATTAGGATATTTAAGATATTAAGATCGCTCCTGCATACTAGTCCATAGGCTTCTTGAGGGAATGACTTTTGTTGGCATCGAAAAGTAATTAAAGACATTGTTAAAATAGTCCCAGTGACTACAGTGGCTCAATCTTAAAGGGTTAGTTCACCCAAAAAGGAAAATTAAGTCATTAATTACTCACCCCCATGCTATACCAACCCCATAAGACCTTCGTTCATCTTCGGAACACAAATAAAGATATTTTTGATTGAATCTGAGAGCTGGATCACTCTTCCATAGCCTGCCTAAGGGACTGGCTCTTGACGGCCCATAAAGTCATTAAAGAAAAGGTTTAAATATTCCATGTGCCTACAGCGGCTCAATTATAAGTTTATCAAGCGACGAGACTACTTTTTGTGCGAAAAAAACATAAATAACGACTTAATTCGACTATTCTATTACTTCCTTATGGGCGCATGCGCGAGAACTGAGAGGAGGACGTTCTCCTTCGACTACTTCTTGTTACCGGCTGCTCACCGCTTAGGAGTTTTACCGCCCCCTACCGTATAAGATGATGTGCTGATATAGCTGGAAGCGCAAAACTTTCTGTTTACAAGCAGAGGAAGATGCGCGCTGTACATACGCTTTTCAATTAGCGTATTTTCCGCACTACAAGGTGCACTTAAAAGTCTTTAATCTTCTCAAAAACGACAGTGTTCCTTATAATCCGGAGCGCCTTATATATGGTCATCATTTTATATGGTAGGTGGCGGTAAAACTCCTAAGCGGAGCAGCCGGTAACAAGAAGTAGTCGAAGGAGAAGAACGTCTCAGTTCTCGTGCATGCGCCCATAAGGAAGTAATAGAATAGTCGAATTAAAGGCCCTTTCACCCCGGATGCGTAACGGAAAAGCGAAACGAAAAAGCGAATAGTTCGCGTGAGAATATTTCGCGTCAAAACCATTCACATCAGCCGCGACGCGAATTTGCGACGTTCAGAACTTCAACATTCCAAAACATTCGCGCCGATGAAAGCAGACCTGATTTTCATCAGAAAACGTAGGCTACTCTATACTTATTATTATAGCCTACTAGGTGAATAAATATAGATTTTATATTAGATGTCTTTTTGCAGTGATGTTAACATGATGCTTTAATAGGCTTTATAAAAAAAAAAATCCCAATCTCTAAATAGCACATTTTCAAACATAGCTTGGAACATAGCTTCTTTATCACCATCATTATCATCCAGTGAAGACAAGCTTTTTATTTTATTTAAAAGCAGAAAAGAAGGTTTGGGGCACCCACTACCGGAGCTAGAAACATATGGCAGAAGGTGAGCTGTCCCATTCATCAGGGGCTACGTTTACATGCAATCAAATAAACACTTTTAGTAAACGGATTGAAGGCTCAAATGGACTGAAAAGCCTTGTAAACACCCGGTTGGGCTCGATACGAAAGAACGAGCACAACGTCCCACCAGTCCTTGTTTCAGATATTCATTCACAGACTCGACACACAAGCAATCAGAAGGTCCGTCCGTCATTGCTGCGGTCACGTCACCTTTGTTTCCCTGTATATGATTGGCTGAAGCCTTTTCTTTCGCCTCAAAAATCGACATCGAAGCGAAAAAAATAAAAGTCGTTTTTTCGCCGCAGCAGATTCGCGTTCGGTGTGGAAGCACTCATTACACAAACAGCTGATCAAAAAATAAAACCAAATTCGCGCGTCAAAATCGCGTTCAGTGTGAAAGGGCCTTAAGTCGTTATTTATGTTTTTTTCGCACAAAAAGTAGTCTCGTCGCTTGATAAACTTATAATTGAGCCGCTGTAGGCACATGGAATATTTAAACCTTTTCTTTAATGACTTTATGGGCCGTCAAGAGCCAGTCCCTTAGGCAGTCTATGGAAGAGTGATCCAGCTCTCAGATTCAATCAAAAATATCTTTATTTGTGTTCCGAAGATGAACGAAGGTCTTACGGGGTTGGTACAGCATGGGGGTGAGTAATTAATGACTTCATTTTCATTTTTGGGTGAACTAACCCTTTAAGTTTATCAAACGACGAGAACACTTTTGTGCACAAAAACAACAAAAATAACGACTTTATTTCAACTATTCGTTTATTTCTCCCTCTGCGCGAGTCAGGTTACTAGTTTAATAGCGTAAGCTTCTGTTATTGTACGTCACAGGCATCACACACATGACCAGCGTCGGCCAATAGTGAGCCTACGTGTGACGTAGCTCTTCGCATTTACACTACGTTAACTGACTACAGGCCCATAGAGAAGGAAGTGAATAGTTGAAATAAAGTCGTTATTTTTGTTTGTTTTTGCGCACAAAAAGTATTCTCATCGTTTGATAAAGTTAAAATTGAGCCACTGTAGTCACTTGGACTATTTTAACGATGTCTTTGAAGACTTTTCGATGCCAGCAAGAGTCATTCCCTCAAGAAGCCTATGGACTAGTATGCAGGAGCAATCTTAATATCTTAAATATCTTAATTTGTGTTCCGAAGATGAACGAAGGTCTTACGGGGTTGGAACAACATGAGGGTGAGTAAATACTGACAGAATTTTCATTTTTGGGTGAACTAACCCTTTAAGATCGTCAGTTTCGGTTTATGCTCCTCTTTCTCTTCAACTGAGGGAAGCTCAGACCTATGACATCTTTAAAGCTCAACTCAACTAGCATTTGTTGATCTTCAAACAAAGTCCAATAGAAGAGAGTGTATCTTTGGGGTGGTGATGGCGCAGTGGATAAGACACATGACTTTGGTGTGAGAGACCCGGGTTCGAATCCACTTGTGAGACACCAATGTGTCCCTGAGCAAGACACTTAACCCCTAGTTGCTCCAGAGGCGTGCGACCTCTGACATATATAGCTATTGTAAGTCGCTTTGGATAAAAGCGTCAGCTAAATGAATAAATGTAAATGTAGGGAAACGTGTACAGTGAAAATGCTCTATAGAGTTTGTAATAGTTAATCAAAGAGTATTTTAAGGTGACCATGGCACAAATTAAAAAGCATTCATTCAAAAAGCCAATAATGGACTTTTGAAAGAGTGTCATTGTCATCCTAAAGTATTTTTGCTTTTATTTTTGGGATTTATTGTGCTGTGTATTACTTTTTATTTCTGTATAGCGCTTTGAGGAGCTGCTTTTAAAGTCGCTCTTTAAAATAGTTTATTATTATTACAATTGACCATTCATGTTTAACGTGTTTCTCTGTCTTACCAAATAGGGCCTTTTTTATTATTTTTTGCAAAGACAAGATGATTTTTCTCAAACTTTCATATAAGCTGTTTTCCTTCTTTCATTTGTTTTATATGCTGATTTTTTGCTGCAATTAATCAAGTGTGAAATAAAAATTCAAACAATTTTCTTTGCATGAGTTTTTCACGTTTGTTAAACTATGGTCACAATGTTTGAAAAATGTTACTTAGATTGTTGTTATTCTTATGAACAAAAGTAATGAGCATGTTTTAAACAGTTCGGTGCACGTCAGGGGTGTTTTCCATGTTCTGGGACTGTATAAAACAGATAGCAATCAAAAATCCTTGACATGTCAGTTTTGTTTTTATTTGACTTTGCAGTGCATTATAAATGCAAACACATTAGTTTGGTGTTCCTAATAATCCTTAGGTGAGTGTAGATACACATGCTATAGATACACTCTGCAGACATATTCATACACTGTAAAAATATTTTCAAGATTTGTTATCACAACATATTTTCTTTTGTCAAATCAACTTTATAATAATTAATTTAGTTAAGACAACTTATTATTTTGAGTTTCTGATGGTTCTGATGGAAAAAAACGTAAGGGGTAACACTGTCGTTTTTTTTCCTGGTCGAAATTTTGAGTTTCGATATCTCAGCTCTGGAAGGGTCTAAAGCCTCCATTTTTGCCCTCAGGTCTAAGTCTCATGGCCCTCTATCAGAATCCAGAGTTTTGAGAAGATTGGGGTAACTTAATTTTTCGCCCAAAAAACAAAACAAAACGTAGGGGGTAACAGTGTCGTTTTTTTTTTTCTGGTCGAAATTTTGAGTTTCGATATCTCAGCTCTGGAAGGGTCAAAAGCCTCCATTTTTGCACTCAGGTTCAAGTCTCATGGGCCTCTATCAGAATCCAGAGTTTTGAGAAGATTGGAGAAACTTAATTTTTCGCCCCCCCAAAAAAACGTAAGGGGTAACACTGTCGTTTTTTTTCTGGTCGAAATTTTGAGTTTCGATATCTCAGCCCTGGAAGGGTCTAGAGCAGTGTTTCCCAACCCTGTTCCTGGCGGCACACCAACCCTGCGTGTTTTCTTTGTCTCCCTTATCAAACACACCTGACTCAACCCATCAGCTCATAATCAGGTGGGTTAATGAGCTGATGGGTTGAATCGGGTGTGTTTGATTAGGGAGACAAAGAAAACACGCAGTGTTGGTGTGCCGCCAGGAACAGGGTTGGGAAACACTGGTCTAGAGCCTCAATTTTTGCACTCAGGTCCAAGTCTTATGGCCCTCTATCAAAATCCAGAGTTTTGAGAAGATTGGGGATACTTAATTTTTCGCCCCCCCAAAAAAACGTAAGGGGTAACACTGTCGTTTTTTTTCTGGTCGAAATTTTGAGTTTCGATATCTCAGCTCTGGAAGGGTCTAGAGCCTCAATTTTTGCACTCAGGTTTAAGTCTCATGGCCCTCTATCAGAATCCAGAGTTTTGAGAAGATTGGGGAAACTTAATTTTTGCCCCCCCCCAAAAAAAAAAACGTAAGGGGTAACACTGTCGTTTTTTTTTCTGGTCGAAATTTTGAGTTTCGATATCTCATCATTATCTCATGGCCCTCTATCAGAATCCAGAGTTTTGAGAAGATTGGGGATACTTAAATTTTCGCCCCCCCAAAAAAAAACGTAAGGGGTAACACTGTCGTTTTTTTTCCTGGTCGAAATTTTGAGTTTCGATATCTCAGCTCTGGAAGGGTCTAGAGCCTCCA